GTAAGAGGATTGGCATGGCACAGGTATTGTACAATGCTATTATGCAGGAAGCAGCTCCATTTATAGTAAGCAAATGTACGGATCTAACACATACTGTATTTACAAAATTACAATGACAAGCTAATTTACATTAATTGTTTGTTTCACATTTATGTTTAGAAGTCAAGAAAAACTACTGAACGTATGAAGGGTGCCATTACTGAACTTTCCTAAAAATTCCCTTTGGCTGACTTCTAATCAATGTTTTTTTGTACATTGATTCTGGATTATTGACTCATAAAGCACTGAATACATTAAATCAGTATGACAGCTAGGCATCTAGCATTTTCAAAAGGTTGTCTGTGAATTTCCAGATATGTCCTTACTTTGTACACTAGTTTTAGTGGCTATAACTACATTTACCAAAATTATGGCTGAAGACTGCCTTCCAGTGATGTGAGCTCCCTTGCTACTGCTTCCAACTTTGCTCAGTCTGTATCCAGGTTTTGCATCTTTGGCCGTCTTAAGTGGTTGATCCCGGTGATGTTACTTTCGTACACATCCTGAGATTGTACATTGAGCAGTGTATTATCTAGAGTAGGGGTCTCCAAACTATGGTGTCCATTTATGGACCAGAGAATAGCTGCGATTCAACAGATCTCAGCTATTCTCTGGTCATTCACAGTTTGACACTCAGGAGATCATGTCAGCCCTTCTCTGGAGATCTGTGTTCTCCCTCCAGATTCTCCAGCCCAGAGCTGGAGAATCAGAGGGACCGCAAACTAAGCAGAGATAATTTACCTCTGTTTAGTAAACTGATCTTTTACTGTAATCTCACGAGATTATAGTAAAATGATCCGTTTTTCAGAGTTTGGAGACCGTTCTTCCTTCGTTCGGAGAACTGCTTCATAAACTGCATTCACAGGAGAACTGTGTTCTCCGAGAATGCCGGAGAACTGAGCAGCGATCTATTACCGCTGGTCCATAAACGGACACCTATGGCCCTACATGTGTTGAGGAACTACAAGACTCATGAGGCCTTGCAAGACTCTGACAGCCACAGGGAAGACTCCCAGAGACAGGCATGATGGGACATGTAGTACTTCAACAGCTGGAAGGCCATAGTTTGGAGACCCCTGATCTAGAGCATCTTATATACACAAATCAGCGCATAACTGTCCTTCAATTAGCACAAGGTCTTCATATATTCTCACCAGATTCTTCCCATTCAGCATGTGTTGTATATCATACAATCTTCTCTGTGTCCTCTTCATCATCTACTCTACTGCTCCCACTCTCCCAAAAAAGAGTCAACTAATATTGTGTAGTGAGTTCTGATAGACTTTATCTCATGATACACCCATGTGCTAACTACACACAACCAAAACGTGTTCAAATTGCATGAAACCACTCCATGAATAGTATCCACTACTATCCACACCAATTACTCATCCCTACCCAGACCTGCCCAGACCAATTTTCAGCTTTCAGTGCTCTCATACTTTGAATGACAATTGCACGGTCATGCAACACTGTACCAAAACTAAATTTTTATAATTTTTGTTTTTAGACAGAGCTTTCTTTTGGTGCTATTTGATCACCACTGTTTTTATTTTTTGTTAAACTAGAAAAAGACCAAACTTTTTGAAAAAAAAAAAAGTTTTTCTTCGTTTCTGTTTTGCAAATAAGTAATTTTTCTCCTTCACTGATGGGCACTGATGATGCTGCTCTGATGGGCGGCACTGTTGGGCACTGTTATGTGGCACTGTTGGGCAGCACTGGTTAACTGCTGGACACTGATTGCCAGCACAGATGGGCACTGTTGACCGCACTGATGGGGCTACACTGATCACCAGGACACTGATGGTCAGTGTGGATATTGTAGTATATTGTGTGTATATATATATGTGTGTGTATATATATATATATATATATATATATATATGATATACTACAGATGTCCCCCTGCGAAATGCTGCTTACTGGCTCTCCTCATTCGCTGTCAGCGTGAGGCGAGGACTGCCGATAACCGACATTTCCTATTTACCCGGTGATAAGCTGTGATTGGACACAGCTGGTCGCATGGTAAAAGCGGCTGTGATCGGCTCATCCCATAGCCATGTGATCAGCTGTGTCCGAAAGACACAGCGATCACAGATCGCGCGCAGTGCGCGTGGTTCTGGAAGGACGTCCATGGACGCTCTTCCAGAACTAGCCAACCATGCTGTAGCCATCTTTCGGCTATAGCGCGGTCGGGAACTGGCTAAACTCTTGACTGAAGTATACAGTGCACCAGCCACCTCCAGTGTTATTTTATTATTTATTTCAGGTACTTATATAGCGCTGTCAATTTACGCAGCGCTTAACATATATATTGTACATTCACATCAGTCCCTAACCCTCAAGGGGCGTACAATCTAAAGTCCCTAACTCACATTCATACATACACATACTAGGGACAATTTTTTAGACAGGAGCCAATTAACCTACCAGCATATCTTTGGAGTGTGGGAGGAAACCCACGCAGTCACAGGGAGAACATGCAAACTCCAGGCAGGTGGTGCCGTGGCTGGGATTCGAACCAACAACCCTAGTACTGCCAGACGGAAGTGCTAACCATTTAGCCACTGTGCTGCCCTGTGTTCAAACCAATCCACGTGCTCTTCCCCTTTGGGCATGCACCATACCTTGCATACATCGATATGTGCCTTCAGATCCTTAATACAATATTCACTTTACTCTTCTCCTTAACGGTTCTTCATATACTCCCAATCACCGTATACGATAAAATATACAAGCCCATAGTGCAGCAGTATATGTAAAACAACATATTTATTATTAAATGCGCTTACATGGGTAAATAATACAAACTCCCTGTTCCAAAATGGCCACCGCTGCACTTCAAGCTACATCTGTCGTCACTTTCAAGTGACGTGTTCTGTCATAAACTTGACTTCCTCATAGGCAGTAAACGTCGGATGTCTCCGGACCATGGTTTATAAAGAGCTCCTGCCCCATTCTAGAAGCCCTTTCAGCCATTTTGTTTACTGGACCACTTGTACTATTAGAACATTAAGTACCAATGTTCGCATGAATAATATTCAACCCCTTATATTGTGGAACATGGACTTCATACTAAAGCTATAGAATAGAACATCATTATTATCCAGAGCAGCTTACTAGCCGGCAGGTAAGAAGCACTGATGTAGCAAAGAGGTCCATTTATAAAAAAAAAGATCTGAACGAATGTGACAAATCTTTGCACAGTTGCCAACAAAAAAAAAAATCACCCTATTTTTATCTAATATGATTATTGCCTATGATTGACATCTAGTGGCCATATTGCGGTATTTTCCTGAAATACCTCAATTTAGTAAAATTACAACATGGACACCAAAAGACGCTGACAGACATAGGAAAAAGTCCCCATAGTCTCTTTTCTGTAATTTAAAAAAAAAAAAAAAAAAATACAACCTTTCTGCTAGCAATGTCTTTAGTAAATTTTCCATAGTCATGGGTATTTGGACTTATTTTGCAGTGGCTTGATAGATTTCTGGTAATCTTAAAGGAGAAGTTTGGGGGTGTAAAAAGATAAACATGCATACTCGCTAGGGATGCACCAAAATTTCGGCCACTGAAACTTATCGGCCCAAAATAGCCCTATCTGCATTTTGCCAATAGGAAAAATTTAGCCGATACAGGAGACTGTGTGTACAGCAGATGGGGTGACGGCTGAGAAAGGCAGGAGAGGAGCAGTGTATTCAGTGACTGGATGTCACTATAGGTCAGTGCCAGTTTTTAAATGTAATTTAAGGCTTTTTTTTTTTTTTTTTTTCACAATAGCTCACAGAATTAGCTGTCACTTTCCTCCCAGCTAAAAGAAACCGTTTCCTTTTAGTTTCTTTCCTGAGATAAAAGAAATAGTTTCCTTTAGCTCCGGGGAAAGTGACAGCTAATTCTGTGTGTGTATGTGTGTGTGTGTGTGTGTGTGTGTGTGTATGTGTGTGTGTGTATATATATATATATATATATATATATATATATATATATATATATATATTGAACAAAAAAACGGAAATTGCATTTAAAAACTGGCACCGACATATAGTGACAGCCAGTGAGGGAGCCTCTCTGTATACACTGCTCCCTCACTGTATACACTGCTCCTCTTTGCACACGCTGCCCCCACCCCCTACAAAGAGGACCTGTCACTCATATGCTATCACATAGGGGTCTATTGGTCATCTATGTGATAGCAATAAAATCATAAGTTAAAAATATACATGAAAGTAGAAAAAAAATGGAGCCTCCCCACCCCCACATATGCAGACATTTTGCTTTCAGTTCGATTTTCGGCCACGTGCATTCTGAATTTTTCATATCAGTTTCTGCACCAGAATTTTCATTTCTGTGCACCACTAATACTCACCTTTATGCTGCAGCATCGATATGATGCAGCTGGCTCCAAGTTCAGGAACTGAGCAATCGCATGAGTGCTGATTGTTAAGTTCTTGGTTAGCTCTGAGAAGAGCGTTTTGTTAATCTCCACTCTCTGCTCTGCTCCTCCAGCACTCACTGGAGCACCAGCTAGTAGAGTCACATTCCTGATGAAGGGAACCTGTGAGACTCTGAAACGTTGCCTTGCTGTAACTATGTGATCATTAAAACATTTGGACCCATATTGATGATACTCGGTGTGCTGGGGACATTCTCCCTAGCTAGTAGAGGGGCAGACACAGCTTGCTTTGGTTTTCAGCTGCTTGCTGAGAACTAGAGCCAGCTGTCATTCAGGCCTCTGGGTGGATCTCACAATATGGTTGGAATCCTTCTGGAGTCTTGAGTGGCTCTGTGAAGTCAGCTGATAGTGGGTTTTATGACCCAGAAGAGAAATATGTCCAAAAAAAGCTTTGGCTGTGCTTTTTTAACACATTGCTTTGTAAGTTGACTATAACTTCTTATCATTGCCTTTATTTTTTTACAGTAATGGCTTACACGTAATAATAGCAAGTTATTTCTTTCAGGTATATGTGGAATTTGACCAGAAAAGTTCTAGGAGACCTTCATGGGTACAAGTTCATGGAGCAGATGTCTTGGTAATCTTACTGGAAGGACCACTAGTTTGGTCACCAAGGAAGGAACCTATAATTATCCAAGGGAGCCGTGTTTGCCCCACTCATTGGCCTGCTTTGGTAAGTAATGGTCAATAGAAGCCACTCAAAATACATGGACAGAAAATGAGGGAATATTTCCCCAACGGGGACATACAGTCATGGCCGAAATTGTTGGCACCCTTGATATTTTTCCTGAAAATCAAGTATTTCACACAAAAAAGGTATTGCATTAACACATGTTTTGCTATACACATGTTTATTCCCTTTGTATGTATTGGAACAAATATAAAACAGAGGCAGAAAAGCAAATATGACATAATGTCACACAAAACCCCAAAAATGGGCTGGACAAAAGTATTGGCACCCTTAACTTAATATTTGGTTGCACACCCTTTGGAAAACATAACTGAAATCAGTCGCTTCCTATAACCATCAATAAGCTTCTGACACCTCTCACCCGGAATTTTGGACCACTCTTCCTTTGCAAACAGCTCCAGGTCTCTCTTATTGGAAGGACACCTTTTCCCAACAGCAATTTTAAGATCTCTCCACAGGTGTTCAATGGGATTTAGATCTGGGCTCATTGCTGGCCACTTCAGAACTCTCCAGCGCTTCTTTGCCATCCATTTCTGAGTGCTTTTTGACGTATGTTTGGGGTCATTGTCCTGCTGGAAGACCCAGGATCTTGGACGCAAACCCAGCTTTCTGACACTGGGCCCTACAGTGCGACCCAAAATCCTTTGGTAATCCTCAGATTTCATGATGCCTTGCACACAGTCAAGGCACCCAGTGCCAGAGGCAGCAAAACAACCCCAAAACATCATTGAACCTCCACCATATTTTACCGTAGGTACTGTGTTTTGTTCTTTGTAGGCCTCATTCCGTTTTCGGTAAACAGTAGAATGATGTGCTTTACCGAAAAGCTCTATCTTGGTCTCATCTGTCCACAAGACGTTTTCCCAGAAGGCTTTTGGCTTACTCAAGTACATTTTGGCAAACTGTAGTCTTGCTTTTTTATGTCTCTGTGTCAGCAGTGGGGTCCTCCTGGGTCTCCTGCCATAGCGTTTCATTTCATTTAAATGTCGACGGATAGTTCGCGCTGACACTGATGCTCCCTGAGCCTGCAGGACAGCTTGAATGTCTTTGGAACATGTTTGGGGCTGCTTATCCACCATCCGGACTATTCTGCGTTGCAATTTTTCATCAATTTTCCTCATCCGTCCACGACCAGGGAGATTAGCTACAGTGCCATGGGTTGCAAACTTCTTGATAATGTTGCGCACTGTGGACAAAGGCAAATCTAGTTCTCTGGAGATGGACTTGTAACCTTGAGATTGTTGATATTTTGCCACAATTTTGGTTCTCAGGTCCTCAGACAGTTCTCGTCTCCTCTTTCTGTTGTCCATGCTTAGTGTGGCACAGACAGACACACAATGCAAAGGTTAAGTGAACGTCTCTCCTTTTTATCTGCTTTCAGGTGTGATTTCTATATTGCCCACACCTGTTACTTGCCCCAGGTGAGTTTACAGGAGCATCACATGCTTGTAACATTCTTATTTATCCGCAGTTGTGAAAGGGTGCCAATACTTTTGTCCAGCCCATTTTTGGAGGTTTGTGTGACATTATGTCGAATTTGCTTTCTTTCCTCCCTTTTTTTGTTTTGTCCCAATACACACAAAGGGAATAAACATGTGTATAGCAAAACATGTGTTAATGCAATACGTTTCGTGAGAAATACATGATTTCCTGGAGAAATATCAAGGGTGCCAACAATTTCGGCCATGACTGTAGATAGCAGTAACACAGAAGTTCTGATTCTTTCTTTTCTTTACTCTCTCCAACCCAAAAACATAGTTAATGCTGAAATGAGGGGGTAATGCTAAAAAAAAGGGGATCCTCATCCCGAGAGGTTACTTACAGAATGCAATGCAGAAGAATGGGTTTTTGTATATTTGGAATGCAGGAGGCTCAATAACCCAGACAACAATTGTGTTCCTGTGTCTCTGTGGTAGAAGGCATCAGGAAGTGCAGCAAATGTGTGTTGTGCATGTTTTGGCAGATATGGCGGGAGGGAAGTGCGTCAGCTGGGAGGTATATGTCATAATCATCCTGAGATTAAGTCTGGATGGGAAAAATACTGCCAAATTTTAAATGAAGTAGAATCACTTATGGCAACAGAAGCTTAGCGAGAACTACAAAGAGAAGTAATACGATAGAATGAATAACTCCACATTCCTCTGCTTATGGATCCACATTGTGTGTTAAGCACTTTTGGTTGTCATTTAACAGCCGTAGGTAATTGCTTACTGTGTGAACATGAATAGCTGTAGCAGCTGACTGCATGTCATTGCAGTGTACAAGCTCAGTTGCTGCAGCTTTGCGCACACAGCTATTAATCCCAGCCACTAGAATCAGTAGATTCTTGCCACTGGGATTTGCAGTGTGGCTAAACATCCATGCAAATAGAGGCTGATACGGTTTTAAATGTATTAGCCTGTAGTTGCCAGCATTTTCCTTACTACCCTTCTTGTGGGGAGCTACAATATTAGCTGTCTGTCAGTCATGGGGAACTTCCTAAAAAGAATGGTTGAAAAGATCATTTAATGGTCCAACAACTATTCATCAAAGTTCTCGTAGTACTCTCGGATGAATACTCTTTGAAACCAATGGCTTTATTAAGCTTTAAGCAAGCCAGTTTATCTGCTTCCTCTGCCTCTAGAAACCTTGAAAAATTAACCTTCACTGCTACTGTCAATAAGATCTCCAACATGTTTTTGTGTCATGTCTGAGAAGACAAAAGTAATTGTTTAAATGAATTGCTACATCCATGGTTCCCTAAACATAAGTGTTATTTCCAGCTTATATTTTTGGCATCCCGTAGTATATTTTCTTCCTCGTATTAATGTACCTCAAAAATGGTCTTGTATTCTTTCTTAGTGTATTTAGCCATGTGCTCCTCTTTCTGTGTTTTTTTAGCAGATAATGTTTGGCTTCCCTTTTGTCTGTTTTATTACACTTTCCTTTCCTTGTATTTCCTATATAATGATTTTTCCAGCTTTAGTATCCCACCTACCTACCCCTGTATTGAACTATATTGTTTTGTTTTTTTTTTCTACTCTTTTTACTCTTACTAATTTGCCTGTGCCTGACATATAACCAGGTTGCCTCCTGGGTTGTAGACTTTTTTTTTTTTTATGTATTTACAATCATTTTAATGACTAACTAGACCAATAGGTTCTTTTCTATCATAAACATTTTACCTGTCAGTTGCTTGTTAATTTTTTTGGTTTCATTCTACTTTAATTAATCCTTTAGGAATGCATCCATTTCAGGGCAATTTGTTTTTGGAAATCTAAAATTTTTGTTAATGATTTTTCAGTTTTTTTTTGTTTTAATATCAAACCAAAGACATCGGCGATCACTGAATAGAATTGATTGAGTGGAAGCATATAGGTTTTCATGCTTGTTATTGTAAAAAAAGATGTATGTGAGGAGCAGATTCCTCTAGGCAAAATGCTACAGGGTTTTATCTATTGCTGAAGCAGTTATGTAACTTGTCCACCACCTCTGACAGATTAATTATAACACTTAAATGTTCTTGACTGTCATTCACTAGGTTATTTATTGTGATGTGGATTGGAGTACAAAGAAAATCAGTAAACAAGTGTGGGTATTTCAATTATGGAATGTTGTGAAGTAAAGAGTAACACACGCTATTTTAACATTGCAGACATTCACAACTTTGGTGGATAAATTAGGACTGGGAACACTGGTCCCTATAGAGTTTCTCCTAGAAGAAATACTGCATTTTCTTCCAGATGCCAGTACACTTCGTCTTTATCAGGTAACTCCTTTTACAGTGAGAAGCAACATTTATTAAAAGAAATCTCTGAAAATTAATGACATTGTTCTCATTCCATTTTCCAGCAGATGGGAGTAGACAGCCACAAACTGGTTTTGAAAGAACAGCCTCTATTGAAGGATGCTGTAACTGATGTAATCAATTCAAGAAAAGTCCAGGAGATCATTTTACGAGGTTAACTGCACACATTTTTAAAATCTTAAGTATTTACAGATTCAGTTTATTTATAAATAAAAGCTGTAGTAAACCCAAAAGCAAACATTTATTATGTTGCAGCTTACCAATTCTTAGATGTGATGTCTGTATTAGTTTTCTTTTTTAGGCTTTCTTTCTTCTATTTGCATGTGGTGATCCAGTTGGTTTTTCAAAAGAACAAGCTCTCTTCCAGATGTGTCAGTTTAGAGGTATGGGGCAAGCCATTCAACAGTGGCAGGGGTGCTTACAATGGCCAACTTTTCTTTTTTTTTTAATTTTTTATATATGTATATAAAACCTTTATCCCAGAATGAAAAAAACTAGTTTTAAAATCTACTAGTACATCTAACCCCCCCCCCCCCAGACTGACAGTGCTGCAAAGGTCCCTGTGCTCATTCATTCAGAGTGTGGGGATCTCTAATACAGGAGGTGTTTTACTGGCCAGGTCACCAACTGACAACCGGGGGGGGACGGGACCTTTAAGACTTGGTTCACACTATTGTGGGCTGTTTGGTTTGGCCCCCGGTTCCTGCACCCGCAATTGTGCTGTGGGCTGAGATGCGTGGGGGCACCATTCAGAATGAACTCGGTTCGGCTGCGGCCGTTTGAAGGTGCGGAAACAAATGCAATTCCTTCACTTGCAACCAGCCCACATAGTGTGAACCAAACCTAAAAAAAGAAAATGAATGCAGCCACCACATCTAATGTTTGGTAAGCTGCAATATATTAAACTTTTGATTTAATACCGCTCTGTGATTGTATGGTTTAAAGCTGATATTTAGTAAAGGAGCAGATGAATGATAGGATCTCCACCACCAAGTCTCAGAATGTAATGCATGCCATTACACGTAACCCTTGTATTTATGTATCCAAAAACAAACGGCTAAACTTACGCTTTAAAGTATATGTGAACCATTACCTTGTGTAAAACAACCCATTCAGTTAATAATAGAAGTGAAAGGCAAAACATTTGTGTATAGATATATAAAAAAAAAAAAAAAAAAAAAAAAAAATATATATATATATATATATATATATATATATATATATATATATATATATATATATATATATATATACACACACACCGTATTTTCCGGCGTATAAGGCGACTGGGTGTATAAGACGACCCCCTAATTTTCCAGTTAAAACCTATTTTGGGCTATACTAGCCGTATAAGACTACCCCCCTTCCGAGGCAAACACCATTTAAAAACATCAGATTTTTTTAATTGAAATGGTTATGACTTACCGGTTATCCTTCAAAATCCTCATGTTCATCCTCTGACATCATAAGTTCATGAATGACCTCTTGTGATACATTTGTAAGACAGTCATCATATGGATCAAATTCCAAATCAGATGGTTACCGCTGGATGTGTGGTAATACGGTAGCTTCGGCTACATACAGTATATATACAGCCCGCTGGATGTGCAGTAATGTACATACAGTATACCTCGCTGAGCCAAGCTGGCTCAAAACAAATGTCCCTATGACAGATTAATCTGTCAGCCCACTGGATGTGTGGTATATACAGTATACTGAGCCAAGCTGTTTCAAAACGTACTGGTATGTCCCTACGGTAATCAGACCGCTGGATGTGTGTATGTACAGTAGCTGGGGCTACATACAGTATACGCTGGGCCAATCACGGCGAGCGATGTATTCTAATGAATACAAAGCCTGCTCGGATTGGCTGAGGTTGTGACATCATCAGCCCACCCTCTCTGACTCAGCCAATCCGAGCAGGCTTTGTATTCATTAGTAGAATACATCACTCGCAGTGATTGGCCCAGTGTATACTGTATGTAGCCACAGCTACCGTATATACACGCATCCAGCGGGCTGATTACAGTAGGGACGTACCGGTACGTTTTGAAACCACTTGGCTCAGAGCAGTATACTGTATATACCGCACATCCAGTGGGCTGACAGATTAATCTGTCATAGGGACATTTGTTTTGAGCCAGCTTGGCTCAGCATGGTATACTGTATGTACAGTATTACCACACATCCAGCCAGCTTGACCCAAACAAACTCAAGGTTCACATTTTATACCCCGCGTATAAGACGACCCACAATTTTTGGGGTATATTTTTAAGTATAAAAAATAGTCTTATACGCCAGAAAATTGTGTGTGTGTGTGTGTGTGTGTGTGTGTGTGTGTACAAACTGTTTCCAAATTATTATGCAAATTATATTTTTCTCATTTACCTAAATAATTGATGTAAATAAATAACAGTCAACATAATTCTCATGTTATCAACTATTAAGAGTACAATTCAAATTTTATTGCACAAACCTCCTAATGATAACAGTATTTTTTTTTAAACATAAAAAACTTCCAATGCACTGTTCCAAATTATTACGCACAGTAAGTTTCAAAACACTTTATAGGTTGTAAAGAACTGAAAATTGTCATTTGTTGTGTTTGCAGCATATTTACTGAAATCAAAAGCTATTTCAATCAGACTTTTAACAACAGTTTAACTTTTTAAACATTTTAACAGGTCACGTTACATTGTAACATAGGATCCCTTATTTGATAGCAGCTTCACAAGTCTTGCATCCATTGAACTTGTGAGTTTTTGGACAATTTCTGCTTGAATTTGTTTGCCAAATGTGAGAATAGCCTCCCAGAGCTGCTGTTTGGATGTAAACTGCCTCCCACCTTCATAGATCTTTTGCTTGAGGATGCTCCAAAGGTTCTCAATAGGATTGAGGTCAGGGGAGGATGGAGGCCACACCATGACTTTCTCTCCTTTTATTCCCATAGCAGCCATTGATGCAGAGGTATTCTTTGCAGCATGGGATGGTGCATTGTCATGAATGAAGATGATTTTATTACAGAAAGCATAGTTCTTCCTTCTGTACCAGGGAAGAAAAGTGGTCAGTCATAAACTCCACATACTTTGCAGAGGTCATCTTTACACCAGTGGTGGCCGAATAGAAGGTTTATGCACAGTTGCAAGACTCTGGAGGACTCTACACCTTGATGTCCGTGGGACTCCAGAAGCACCAGCAGCTTTAAATATCTATTTGCTGCTATGTAATGGTATTTTAGCAGCTGCTCTCTTGATCCGATGCATGGATCTGACAAATCTTCCTCAGTGTGCCTTTATCTGCACGGCCCATCTGTGCTCTGAATCAGCCAAAAATCTATTAATAGTGCGATGATCACGCTTAAGTTTTTGTGAAATATCTAATGTTTTCATACCTCGTCCAAGGCATTGAACTATTTCACTCTTTTCGGCAGCAGAGAGATCCTTTTTTTCTTCGCCATATTGCTTGAAAATGGTGCTCTGCTTAATAATGTGGAACACCCTCCTTTTAGTAGTTTTTCCTTAAATTGGGCTCATCTGCCAATCTAATTATCACAGGTGTCCGAGATTGTTTTCAGTGATCAAAAGAGCCCTGAGACACAATGCCATCCATGAGTTAAACTGAAAAACAAAATATTTAATCTTTGTGACACTTAAATAGAATTTGCATAATAATTTAGAACAGGGTGTGTATGTATGTGTTGTGTATGTATGTGTGTATACACACACACACACACACACCGAGAGGTGGGGCGAAAGAGTAGTACACTGATCCTCCCAGTGAATAGTTGGGGGGGGGGGGGGGGGGGGGTTCGCACAAGTGTGATCATTGGAAGACAGGCAGGCTGTCCTATAAGCACTACCAGAAAAGTGACCAAGCTGGGATAAATGGGCTTCTATGTCTAGTGGGGCCAGTATGAAATAGAAAAGCAGGAGGACTGACAAGAACACAATGAATTTAACACAAAGGAAACAATACAAAGAGAACAGGATATTTTTTAACACAAAGACAGGGTACAACAGGCACATATCAGGAATGTGAAATATTGGGGTAACATATTCTTTAAATAATTCCCATTGGACAGGAAAGTTTGAATTCCTGTTCTAAATACTTGTGGGTCAGTTAGTCAAAGTATTGAAGCCTTTGGATTAGCACAACAGCTCTGTGTTTTTCCTAACTTCATATACTCAATCCTTTCTCCAGGAGCCCCATAGTTTTTCTGCGCATGAATGAGATCCCACAATCTGCCTCCTGGGATGTCTTTTGTCACACATCCTGGGAGACAGTTTGAGGAATTTTGCGTGTGTGTGTGCTGGATCTCAGTTCAAGATGGCAGTGCTGGAGAAGGGCAGTGTAGAGAACTTTGCCTGCAAGTAAGGCACTCTGGACTCTTATCAACTAGTGGTATAAGTGTTAGGGATATAAAATGTAATTATTGATAGGTAGGGTGAAGTTTCTCTTTATGCCCCTTTCAAACGGGCTGTTTTTAAAACGAAAATCCATATATTTCTATGGACTAGCGGATGTAAGCAATGATCATCTGTTTACATCCGTTAACCGCTTACCCGCCGCCGTATAGCAGATATACTGCTGCATGGCGGCACGGGTGCGCAAAACCACGCATATATACTTGATTTTGCATTTCCGGGTTGAGGGCGTGCATGAGCCCTACCCGCGCCGCCTTTCGCAGCCGCAGATGTCAATCACGGGGTCCCGGCTGGTGATTACCGACAATCACCGATGGGGAGGAAGACTGTTTTCTTTACAAACAGTCTTTCTCTCTGTCAGCTCGGGCACACTGCTCAGGATGGCTGTGCACATCACAGCCATCCCAATCAGTGTGCTTACAGTGAAGCACACACCATGCGCGCTCCTAGCAAAGGTCAGGTACTCACGGAAAGGTCCCTATCTCCTATTTCGATTGGGACCTTTCCTGATCATGTGGCGGTGTGTCACGGCGGTCACATGACCCTAAACCCCGCCCCGCCTCCCAGCTTCTAAAACCCTTAAAGGGCCGGGAGGTGCCAGCGCCAAGGGGTTAACATCCATTTGTTTTCTTTTGAATGGAAGAAAGCCCTATTTTTGTTCCGTGCAAAAAAACTGGAATGGATGAAAAACAGATGTAAACAGACATACAGTCCATTTTTGCATTGGTAAAGGATGTAGAAACTGACATGACTGAACTGATGAAAAAAGGAACGCCTGTGTGAAAAGTGGTGCCAAAAAGCCTGTGTTCCTTAGCCTTCATGTGCCTTCTCCTGCCTTTAAAGCACTGCCTGCCTGCCTAGAGTCCTCTTTCAACCAATGGAAATTTTCTGTGCAAATACATGCATTCTGAAAGTTGACATTTGCATGGGGCTGGAAGGGGTGGCGTTATTTTAACTTTCTGAAATGCCCAATAATCTTTTGTTTTTGGTTACTGCTTTATGGTCTGAAATGGACTGTATAGTTTATAGGAATCCTACAGTAATAGGCCCCACAAAGTCTGATTTAAAATAGTTATTTGAAATTAAAGATATTTACTGCTATAACAGTATGTTATTTTCTTTTGATTGTCTAGGAATTTGCAGTATTCAAGGTCAGGAGGTTAAAGTGTTCAGGCCAGATGAAGATGAAGATTGGGTTTATGGGCTTGTGACCCATCAAGATCCCATTAGCCGTATAATAAATGTAACAATGAGTGAAGTATGTATACATTTCGAAAACAAATCTAATTTTAACATTTGAAGACTTTGTGTGCCCAAACAATCAACTGTTTTATGTCTGTTATTGCTTCTTAGCAGTGCCTTAACTGTGTGATGACCACAATCATTTCATACTCTAATAACCAGTGTAAAATCTGCAATTTTGTAGCATGTAAGCTCAATGGCCAATAACTTTCCTTAATTAAAACTAATTAATTGTATGGACAGCCTTGACTTTCTTTTGGTAGCATGTAAAAAGTGAATTTATTATTATATAGGATTTATATAGCACCAACAGTTTGTGTAGCACTTTACAACATGAGGGCGCACAGTACAGTTAAAATACAATTCAATACAAGAGGAATCAGAGAACCCCCCCTTCCTCCATGCAAGCTCCTGCCATGTATCAGGCCTATCAGATGCCTATGTGTGAAAACGTCGATCGCTGCACATGCCAGAGTGAATGCAATAATTCTAGCACAAGACCTCCTCCGTAATACTAAACTGATGACCTATAGGGGCTTTTGAAGTATTGTCTATAGAAAACATAGGGTACTGAAGTTTGTCGCTATTTCGTTAGCACACACAAATTTAAGGTTTGGCATGTTGGGTATTCATTTACTCAACGCAACCTCATCTGAATGAACACACGGAGCAGCGGGTGCCCCCTAGCAAGCTGCTTGCTCTGGGGCACCCGACAGGAGGGGGGAAAGGCCAGGAGAGCCTGCGAGGGACCCAAGAAGAGCATCCAGGCTGCTCTGTGGAAAACCACTGCACACAGTCGGTAAGTATAGACATGCTTGTTATTTTCCAGAAAAAAAAAACCTTTAGAATCGCTTTAATTGGCCAATTCAACTTTAAAATACTATGTGTTATGTTTAGTGACATTTATGGTTAAAGGATAAGTTCACCTTTTAAATCATGTTACAAGTTATACCCATATTTTGGGGTGTAACATATAATATGCTCCAGACTAGCCCCTTGCACCCCCGATATCCCCTTTCCCTGTGACCGGGGGGGGGGGGGTCCTCTCCCTAACACCCGCTGTCACATTTTAAAAATCGTCATTTATTTACGGGAATTTGTGAATTAAAAATAAACAAGTTCCATCCGCTACCAAAGGACTGATTTGAGATGTAATGCTCTGCTGTGAAAAAAAATTATTTAAGCACATTTATTACTTTTGTTTTCAAAAAGCTAAACTTAGCCTTTATAGTTTAATTAAGTAAACCTGGCCTCCAGAGAGACACAAATTCATGCAGCTATGTATTTACATTTATGTGTTTATTTTTAATGCAACTAGTATAAGTATCTATCTGAATTTAAATGTATATCCTTCCTATCTGTACAGCAACAATAAGACTGGTAGAAAGAGGGGTAGGACTGGGAGCCAGTCAGTTGTGATAATTCCAGATTTTTTGCTATTCTTTAATAACTGAGCTAGCTTGTTTAAGTGACAGGACGACCAAACCTATGAATTTGTATTCAACCCAAATTCAGAAATATCTAAGCTCTGCCTTTTGTAATTTTGTATGTTCTGTTGAAAGCTATCTTCTTTTTTTTTTTTTTTTTATGCTCCATTTTGTTTTAGTGTTTTTGGGTTTTTTTTTGGTTACAAATGTGTTGCAATATGCTGACACTACTTTTTAATATTCACAGGGAGGTGAGACTGTGATGATTGATCCAAAATTAGTACACGTGGTGCTAGTTACGACGACTCCGTCTTAGAACCTGAGGTATTTACTTTTTTGTCTCAATTTGTTAATTTCATTACATATCCCATAATAAGTTTCATTAGAAAAATTGGAGCAGAATTACATGAATGTCTCACCATATCCCAATCTAGTATAGAAAATGTACATACAATAAAGAAATAGGGATATTTAGGTGTGTAAACCAAACTGCAAGATACTACTACCCCCTCCCTCTAAGACTGAGAATCAAGCAATCAAGGCCGTTGATCGCTCAGTTCTCAGTCTTCAGTGATCGGAGAGTCAGTGATTGTCAGTCACCTGCCTTCTGCTTTGCCCCTCCAGTTCTCACTGTAACGCTGGCCTGTGGAAAGGACAGGAATGGCTGCCTCAGGCACATTGTGGTGTTTTGAGAGGCTGAGACAGCTATCAGTCAGGCATTTGGGTGTGTCCCAACATAAAGTCGGGATATCTCCAGAGTCTGGACTGAGTGACGTCAGCCAACAGCAGACTTTAGCCCGCTGACAGCTGAATCTGGGTCACAGAAGTGCAGAATGAAGTGCACTCCTGTGACTTGCAGGAGAAACAGGGCCAAAATAACTATGGCCCTACTTGTCCTTTAATATTATGACAAAATGCCAAAAAAAAGTGTTTAAACACTAACACACATTAACCGTACCCCATCCAAACTACTGAAAGTGTGTGTGTATCTCTCTTCATACCTCTCTTCCAGATCATAGTCCATCCAAAGTATTTCTTGGAACAGATTCCACTATTTCAAGAATTCGTGTAAAGCTTGAAGGATAAGTTCACCTTTTGAAAAATGTTACATGCTCCATCCTTATTTAGGGTAGACCATGTAACATGTTGCTGCAGCCTGTCCCCCCACCCCCCTTCCCCCCCATGACAGCTAGCAGGAGATCTCCCCTTGCACCCCATTGTCGCTATTGAAAATAACTTGGCCATGCCCACATGACCACGTCCTTCCTTCAGTTTCCTGTGAATGCACAAATTACCAGCCATTTGTGGTTGGTGGCTTGTAGTTCTGAATGGACTGTGGGATTGCTGATGAGTTGCCTTGTAGTTCATTCACAAGCCTGCAGCTTGTAAACAGTCAGTCCGTATGAAGGTACAGGCTGAAAGCTGCATGGCTTGTTTTCAGGAGTCCGGTATTGCACCCCAAATCCACTGATCACAGATGCAATGCTTTCCAGGCATCTTAGGAAAAAAATTATAAATGCGCTTTTTTTTTCTCCTGCATAAATATGCATTTAATATTTTTTCCCAAAAGGAGAACTTATCCTTTAAAAGGAGTGTCTCATCTAACAGAATTGTACTGATACCTCATATATGTTGAACCTTCCTGTCATTCAATCATGCATGCGTGTTTCTGCTTCCTTGTATTTAGGTGCATCCCTTCAGACCAGAGAGTTTTTTGGCTTCCACTAATGTGTCCTGTGGATAAATGGTCCTTAGTGGTGTCCCTTCATAATACAGAGGGAACACCCCTAGCCCAAGCCTGACTCAACAGTTGAAGCCACAAACTGCCTGAGCTGAGAGGATGTACCTGAGTACAGGGGAGAGGAAACAAGCAGCCATATGAATTAATGGTTGGATCAAAGGTTTATCATATATGGGTTATCAGTATAATTCTGTTAGATGAGATACTACCTATAAGGTGCTCGTGAATCATTGAAAATGTGGACGCTTTTCCAGGAAACATGTTGGATGGACAATTTCTGTTTATTTGCAGAGAATAAAAAAATGATCTGGAAGAAAGGTATAGATATATGATTTCAGTAATTTGTATGGGATACTGTTATTGTAGATAATCTCATCAATACGTTATTATGAATTATGATTGAACCAATTTTTTTTTTATGTGTTAGGGCGTTTAGTCTCCACTTATTATATTATAATAAGTAATAAAAGCATACATTTCATCTATTGATGTCTATTGTAGTTTGGTTTACACACCTAAATATCTCTATTTTTCCATTTGTGTAGTTCACTATATAATAACCTTATTAGATGAGAGATCACAAAATCCTTGCAGCCACAGAGCTAGCAAAGCTAGAAAAAAAGTATCTGATTTTCTCAACAAAGCACATAGTGGGTTCCTTGTAGGAAAATAGCACAGCACAGCATAGCTCTTAATGGCACTTTAATTTCAGATGAACTTTCTAAAATGGCTGCCTATGCTATAAACTACTGTATTTACAGTCGGTATTTCCTGAAGATATACTAAAAATAACAGGCTCTCATGCCATGCTTGAGACCCCTGTAACAGCCCCACTGGATTCAGGGTATTTACAGGGCACTTCCTTAACCCTTGTATGATTGACATGCTTCACTTGTTTCTCGCCAGTGCTGGCCAGCCTCCAAGATACCCTAAGTGCAACCCTTGTTTCACTGACATTGCTAGGACACTACCCTAAACACTCTTTATGACAATACAGTTGCAAAACAATTATGTGAACCCCTTGGAATTAACTGGTTTTCTGCAGCAATTCTGCATAAAATGTGATCTTATCCTTATCTTAGTCACACTAGACAAAAATAGTGTGCTTTGGCTAATAACACACAAACAATTCTAATTTCTAATGTTATTATTGAACACACCCATTAAAGTGATACTAGAAATACAATGTACCTTATTTAATCATTGCTGTTTAGAGGTCACATTTCCAAAGTCTTTCCTGTCCTCGGAAAGTTTTGAGAGAGGAGTTTCTAGTATTCTGCTGATGCATGAATTTGTGTGTCTATAGCGTTCATTGGTGCTGGGTCGGTCACATGACATAAAAAAGAGGCTTTCATAGTAGAGAATTAAAATAATTGCAATAAAATGCGTTAAAGCTTCATACAAATAATTCGAAGTAAATATTTATTTTTTTGCAATAACATGGTGAAGGTAGAGTTTAGGTTGACGGACAATAGCTTTCACTTTTGTTCACCCCTGGAGGACGTTCTGCCAATCACAGGCTTTGTCATGACCCTTCAGCCTGTGTCTGTGGTGTGTATCTGCTGCTGGGACTAATATTAAAGGTGCAGCCTCCATCAATCACCATCTTATATCTCGCCCCCCCAGTGTTTAGCTATATGAGGACATGGAGGAGAAGGAAGAAATGGGAGTGTCATTTCACCACTGTGTATACGCTTGCATGTCTGACTCTATAGTCACATGGGCTGCACAAATAAGAAAAAGAAGCAAATGAACAGCTTAGAATGGAACTGAAACTGGAGCATGCTCAGTAGATGTCAACAGTTGGTCTACACAATCTCAGACTGCAGTGGGGATACAGACAAGGAGGGATGGACAGTGAACAGCAGGATCAACCAGGTGTTTTGCAGTATACTGAAAACAAATGCTCTAGTGGATGAGTACACAATTATAAACACAATGTAATACAGCATGTATTGACAGTTTTTGATGATTTGGGTTTAATGACATGTTAAACATTTACAGTGCTGCACAACATTCAGGAGGAATGTGTGACTATTCCTCTGTACAAAACTGCCGGTAACTGAGTCTCCGCACTTTGCTCAGCACGGCTGTGCGATCAGCGGTCGTGTGGTCGCTGTGTTCTCACACTTAGAGCCAGCGGGGGACAGATGCTGCATCTACCTAGGTAAGTATAACTGGGGAAAAACTGGGGGAAAAAAAGACTTCTCTTCTCCCTACTTCTCTTTTAACTGTTTCCCAAAAACAGAACGTTCAAAGCATACCTTGATTGAAAACGGTTAGGCCTCGTTCACACCACTGTGCAGAGATGTGAGTTTTTCTGCATGAGATCTGCAAGGCCACAAAGAAAATTTGCTGATTTTTTTGCACAGGAATCTGCAGTGTATATAAAACTCACTGGAACGCACATGAAAACTGATGTAAACTTGTGTCTCTGCAAGTGAAATCTGCGTTTTTTTTCTGCAGGTATGGTGTGAACCGTTTCCAGTGTGCTTCTTTTAGCTCTCAATCAAACTGTCCAGCCATCAAATGACTGATGTCATAACTAATCACATGTGCAGCAACATGGCAACCACAGATCAAACAGCATAAAATGACAGCTCCTTTGGCTGTAAAGCATGGGAAGGCTTAGTTCCAGTTTAAAGTATATCTAAACCCAATACTAATATACTGCAGCTTACTGGTCCTTTGTGTGGTGGCTGCTTTAATTTTTTTCCCCAAGCTTCTTTTGCGTTTTGTCACCTGGTAATCCTTCAGTCCTTCAGATAACATACTTCCTATCCATGGGTGGCTAGATCACCCCTCCACTATTTAGTGGAAGCCATGGTTGTCACCCTAGTCTTCTCCCCTAATATGGACTACATCTCTATTACATAGGGGGCAGGGTTTCGTAGTTCACAAAATATAGTTAGGATGGAAGATAACTTTTGCTGCAGCTCCCAGGAAGTAACAAGGGCGCTGCTTTTCTGGCAAGGTGGGCAGCTTTTTCTATACTTGCTGAAAATATTTTTCTTGGAAAAAATGTAAACTAATATCTAGGTCTGTAAGCTGCAATACATTAAATTATGTTCTTGGGTTTGAATATCCTTCAATGTGCAGGTCAGCAGCAAGTTACAGAAGCAGCATGTTACAAACACATTCTGATTACATATAATGCTTTGAACTATTATTATTATTTTACAGGATTTATAATAAATTCCTAAAAGTTTAGTTTCATTGATCAAACTACCTCTGATTTTGTGGTTAGTAGTGTTTACTTAGGGAGGCAACATCATTATAGCTTTAGTGTAAACACTATTTGTATCTTTAGTCCTCATGCACACTGCACTGGAAATTTTTATAGCTGCTGTTTTTGGCTTTTGACATTTTTTTTTTCTACAGCTAGTGAACTCCCCAGCATGTTATCCTATGTGTCCAATGCACACACAGACTGTAATCAGCGGTTTTTGGCAGCGACATTTTTTTGGCTGGAAAAAAACCCAGAACTAGTGGGGTTCTAGAGGAGTTTTTTTAGCTTGAACGCTGCAAGACACGGTGTGGCATTTTTGGAATTTTTTATGAGCAAGAAAAAAACGCTAAAAAA